AGTATTAAGAACCGCTGCTTTAGAACATTGATTTTGAAACTTGTGAATCCATTAGAATTGTTAGAAGACAGAATCGCGATTCATATATGAATAGATTTTTACGTGCACCTCTAGTTTTCTCTTCCTCTTCTCTACAGCAGCGCAGCATGGCCTCGCCCCCTTTTCTGCCTTTTACTGAGGGCGGGGTTTATCTGGGTTTGTGATGTCACGAACCTGGGAAGTAACTTGTTGTAGTCCCTACCAGCCGTTTTTGTAGGCATTAAACTGCTAGAATTTTAAAAGACGATATCTCCGTTTGCGTTGAACGTTCAGCTTCGTAACGTTGCAGATATTGTTTATGCTCAAACAGCAACATTACACACTAACTAACGTTAAAAAAGTGAAACCGCAATGAACCACCCCTTTAAGTGACTCGAAAACTAATAACATATCTTAAAACTAACGTTAAAAAAGTGAAATCGCAATGAACCACCCCTTTAAGTGACTCGAAAACTAATAACATATCTTAAGTTTTTTACATTTTTCAAGGTCAAATTAATTTTTAGAATGATGTCTTTTTATATTCAAAACATAATCATAATATTAAAAAAATATTAGATTATTAAATATTAATAAAATATGGGACAACTGTATATATCTATATTTTTGTTTAATAAATAATACTAAAAGTTCATTATATGCCAAACTGCAAGGTTTTTAAAAGTTTTTATTTATTTATTTTTGTATACATTTTTTTGGAATTATGACATCAAACATTGAATAATATTTAAAAAAATATATTAAATTATTAAATATTATGTTAAAATAATACAATATGTGGAAAAGGTAATATCTATATTTTTAATAAACAATACTAAAAGTTATTTAATTATATAAGTATATTAAACAAAAATAATTTATACAAACCACAAGTTTTTTTTCTCAGGAGAGTTACACCACTTTTTTGCACCTTAAAAACATCAATATTTATCAACAAGGAGATATATTCAAGTAATTGTCTGTATAAATTGCAGTTATGAAGACATAAATAATGTGACATTGATGTTTTTAAGCTCAGGATAGATTGAAACACCATGATGAAGGATTTCTTGAAGCTCAAAGAGTAGAGCAACGCCAAGGTCATGGGTTCAATTCCCACAGCAAGCAAGAACGGATAAAATGTCAATGTGTAACTTGAATGCAATCTAAGTCACTTTGAATGACAGCGTCCGCCAGATGTATAAATGTAATTGTACATTTCATGAAGATTTCAAATGGTCATCTCAGATGCACCTCAACGTGAAATAGAAGTAATTGTGTTTTCTGATCCTGCAGGCGTGAGTCCCAGCTGGAGAATCTCTCCCACATCAATGAGGTAAAGTGTTCACCTGACACGAGCGCTGGGATGAGCCATTCTAACGCTTTATCTCTTTTACTGCCTCTCAGAGCGAACAGACTCTGTAGCGATCATATTAAACCAACCGCTGCCTTAATAAATGCAGAGCTATTCTGAATCCCACTGCTCTGTCTGTATCACACGGGACGCGCGTGTGTGTTGTGCTTAGAAACTAAATTGATTAAGTTCTTGTCTGTGCTAAGATATCATAGATACATAGTATTATGATTTATAATACTGCTGAAATGTCATCAAGCTGAATTGTTCAGCATCACGAAAAATGTGTCTTGGGCTTTTGTCCAGTGACATGCAAAAGAAAGCGTTCATTTAATGGATCAAATGTTGACTTTTTAGTGACTTTTTGTATTTTATTGCACTGCAGTTTAAGAAATTAAGAAGAAAAAATGATATCAAATTGAAAATCTGTTACATTTAAATTCTAATAGGCCTATTAGGTTGTGGGAAAATTTTTTAATAATTTAATGTTCCATTTAATTTTGTTTGCATTTATTTGATTAAAATCCTATTTGCAGTAACATAGTTGTTGTAATTTAGAGAGCATGTTGCAATGTGAGCGTCTGAAGAGGAAACGAGGAGAGCACACAGGTCACGTTTCATGTGCATGTTTAATGAACGCAGAGAAAAGAAAGACGCATCTTGTAAACTGGAAAACTCTCGCAGTGAATTAAGTGTTGCGTTTGTGGTTTCATGCTGATTTTCTGGCTATATAATTACAATATCGTTTTTGTGCTATTTTGTGTGTTATTTTAGTATTATCGGGGTAATTATAGTTCACTGAAACCAAGACCATAAAAACCTTTGTCACGTCTAAAATAAAATAAAATCTATTTTAACTGGAATAAATTAAAATGTAAACAAAAAAACCTTAAACTTAACAGTTTTTAATTTCAGCTTTTTTGTTTTATTTTCAACACTTCTCGTTTTCATGTTAATGTACAAAAAATAATAATGAATGAAATTAAACAATTAAATCATAAATTCAAATAGACATATTGAAAAACAAAATCTAATATAAATGACAAAACACACAACAAAATTAACTACAATTAAAATGGAAAATCTAAAAATAAAAACAAATGTAAAATATTAATAAAAAGTATCTCAATGATATTAAAACAATTTTTGACTTAAGTAATAACGTAAGTATTATTTTTGTATGTATGTATTTAATTTAATTTTAGTTTATTTTTATTATTTATTTGTTTATTTTGTAGAATTTTGGTACAAACTTTTGTCATTTTTATTATTATTTAAATATATATATATATATATAAATATTTATTTTAGTTTTATTTCAGTTTTAGCTTTTATTGAGTAACTTTAGTACTTATTTCAGTTAGCTGTCAAAGCAACATTTTAAAGTTAAATTCTTCATCTATTATGTAAATTTTATTTCAGCTCTATTTCAATTAACAATTGATTTTATTAGTTATAGTTAACAATTACAACCCTGATATTCATAACGAAAGCTGGAAAATTTGAATGCTGAAAACCACTTGGTTTCCAAAACTGACCGGCACTGCTGCACATGATGCGTTTTACACTGTTGACAGCCCATGACTTTACCGTGGTGAGCAGAGGAGGAGGATTGGCGTCATTCGCGCTGTTGCCAGGGCACAAGATGAGCAATAAACGTCCAATTAAAAGACCCTGTTTGTCTCAGCAAAACATGGCAGCCTGACGTTCTTAACAACATGTGTTTGTGCGGGAGATGAACGTGTGATTTCTCTCAGTAGCGCTGCAGCGAGTCGAACCCGACCCCAGGGACACCATTAGTTCACGTTTAGCACATATTTGTGAGCACTCGCCATTGAGGAGTAAACCACATGGGAAGCTTTTCCATAATGTAACTATCAATTGAAGGTTTTATTGAATCGGTGGTGTGCGGTTGTACAGACACGGTCGGCGAGCAGTTTTTAGACTTCAGTATGAGAAGGAAAAGTAGGTCAGTTTGTGGGCATTTTCCACTGGGGGAATAGTGAGAAGGTTGAGGCGTATGGAAAGTTTTTCTCTTTATCCTGTATCCTATTAGAGGAGATTGAAATGGGAGGATGATGATGATGGGACGGAAAGACCTTGTCTGGCATCCAAACCGTGAAGTTCTGTGCGCCTCCTCATGGAAATGTTCTGTCAGTGCAGCTAGATTGAGGTGTCGCAACCAGAAGTAGCTTTTGTGCTGCTTCATCAAAGGCCCTGTTCAATTCTACAGTTCAGAGGAGCTCTTTGAAGAGATCTGCTTCATTATAAATAGATCTATCTTAGACCAGTTCATTAGAAAGTTAACCCCTGAAGTATTTTTGTTCGTTTGAATCCTTGAGAGTTTGAGGCCTTGAGCACATGTGAGGCCATCTTACTCTTAAAATTTAAACTTAAAATTTAAACCTCATTTTAAACACATTTATTTTATTTTATTATTTTATTTTAATATACTGTACTATAGTTTTTATAAATATTTTGAATTCGTTTTTATTTTTTATACTTTAATTTTAGTAATTTTTTTATGTCTATATAACTTTTAATCATTTTTTATTTCACTTTTAGTTTCATTTTAATGTTTCCTTGCCAACTAGTTGAAATAAAATTATTTTTTAATATTTTATTTTATTTTTATTTAACATTTATATTATTTCAAGTAACAATTGTTTAATGATTTTTACTTTTATAGCCCTGTTTTCCATGTCAATAGTAATAAAAAATATAATAATAATTTAATATTAAATTATTGCAGTTTTTTTTTTTTTACTTTTTTCTTGCTATGCTTTTAATGAAGTCTTAAAGGGATAGTTCACCTGAAAATCAATTATTCACCAAACCTGTATGAGTTTCATCATAAAAGAAGACATTTTGAAGAATGTGGGTAAGCAAACAGTTTCTGCTCCCCAATGACTCCCACGATATTTTTTCCATACTATGGACGTCAATGGCTACCAGCAACTGTTTGTTCACTAACATTCTTCAAAATATCTTCTTTTACATTTAGCAGAAGAATGAAACTCAAAACAGGTTTGAAAACAACATGAGGGTGGGAAATGATGACAGAAATGTAATTTTGGGGTGAACTGTTGTACCCCTTTAAGATCTTAATCACCTTGACATGTTTGACTTGCCCTAAAAATACATATATATGTTTGTCTGTTATAGTGATGGTGGTCTGGAGGAAGAAGAAGGCAGCGTCATTCCGAAGAGACGTTCAGCTTCCTGTCTGAACCCGGATGTTTTGACTCTGGCTGTGTTTAATACGTCTCCCGCTCACTCCTCCAGCTCCAGTGACCAGCGGCAGAGTCCCAGCGCTTCAGTCCCGACAGCACTGATGAGGAGAGCATCAACTGAGGAGCAGGAGCAGGAGCAGGAGGAGGAGAAAGAGGAAGAGTTACACCTTTATGCTGTGTCTCCATCATCACGAATATACCTCCACCTGCAGAGCTCCTGGAGCAGCTACATCATAGTAAGTGTTTGTGGTGTCAGTTTCTACTCGCTTTGTGTTTAATGGCCAACATTCATTTTGTATTTGACCATTGTTGCACATTGTAAGTACTACACGTATAATGGAAGTCTATGCAAGGCATTGCAATGGTATAAAGGTTAAAACTGAAAGGCTAAAATAAAATACGTTCACTGTTTTAAAAAGTAAAGTGATAAAGTATTGCTAAAAAAGATGATTTTAATTGCATTAGTTTAATCGCAAATAATGACATAAAATGATTTTAAAAATATTTATTTTTATTGTTATTAAAACTTTGTTATTAAATATTATTTATCAAAATTATTGATATTAAGAAAAGAAAATAATACAATTATTATTATATATAATAATTATTAAAATTAATAAAGTTATTATCTTGTCTCTTAAAAAAAACTTTTATTTATAATAGTTTGAATATAATGACATTTTGTTGGGTTTTGACCTTGCCATGAAAAGTTTTTAACATATTAATAATAAATTATTATTATTATTAACAACAATAATTATTGTTATTAAATATTTTAAAACAAAATCAATTCCCTTATTTTTTTTTAAATAAATAAAATTCATATTATTCATAATATAAAATAAAATAATACAATTATTATCTTAACTTTAGTTTTTAATCTTATATCATTTTAAGGTTTGAATATAATGAAATTTTCTTGGGGTTTGCCAAGATTTGTAAAATATTGATCATATATCATTAATTTATTATTATTATTATTAATTTTATATTAATAATTAAAAACCAAACTGCTGATTTTTTTTTTTTTTTGTAGCGATCAACTTTGATGCTGGACCCAGTGTACAGGAAGAGATGTGGCATATCCTCCTCTTCTCCCCAGAAACAGAAATATCAGAAAATCAGGTACTGCGTCTTTCTGGCTGAACAGCTTGCGTTTATGTGTGTGGGCAGGCTAAGAAAGCGTCTGTTAATGTGTTTCCAGCTGGGAACGGACGTGTCACTTGTTCAGTCAGCTGAGCGGAGAGCTGCTGCAGGAGAACATCAGCCTGGAGAGTCTGTATTTACTCCTGCAGGAGCTGCACACGGCCACGAACCGCAACCCCACCATCAAGAAGCTCTTCTGGAGGGTAACATGCAGCTGTCTTTATCCAAATGCATGCACTGTTCATCCAAAAATGAAAAATTCCCTCACAAAAGCCTTCTTTTTTGCTCCTCAGTCACCGGACCTTTATCCTTTCCTGGTGAAATCGCTGTCGGAAAGCTCTCAGGGCGGCCAGGAGGGAGTTCACACAGCCGACAGACTTCTGTAAGCTTCCAAATGCAGCTCATGCATATATAACGTATGCATGAGAGACCCAGCTGACAGGAAATGTTCTCACAGCTTTCACTGAAGTTTTTGCAAAGTTATAGAAATGTTATTATAAAACGGACAGTTCCGGTCCTTGACTCTGATTGGCTGAGCCACGTTCGAAGCTGTTGTAATTTACTCTACAAACATTCACCTTTGTTTACGTTTGTCTGTTGCTTGGCAACCACTTTGTTGCAACCACAACTGATTCTGAGGAACTACATTGTTTGGTGGAAGAATACTGTTTTTATTAATATCATTATACTTTATTTGCTCTGTTTATTTACTTTATTTACTCCGCTTCGCGTCGTGCCTAACAACGCCCCTTAGCTGTTATAAATTCACTGTAAACCACGGCTTCTTGGGGCTTATTGCTTTAGGAGAAAACATTCTTAACGTTATGTTTATGGAACGTTCTTATAACTTTAGTGTTGAGAGAAAACATTCTGAGATCAACATTTTCGGAATGTTCCTATGATGTTATTTGAATTTGAGGATTATTCAAACATTTTTGTAACATTTCAATAATGTTCTAATCATGACAAGATAATTGGTGATTTTAATGTTCTTAGAATATTAAAAATAAATGTACTAAATTAAATTTTTACCCCAAATATAACATTATTTGAACGTTTAAGAAATGTTTTAGTCACCTTTAAATAACGTTCCAATCACAACGATAACTGGGCATTTTAACGTTCTTAGAATATTATGAATAAACGTACAAATAACATTATATTTTGGGTAAATAAAATTAAGTCGAACGTTTAAGAAATGTTTTAAATACCTTTAAATAATGTTCTAATCACGACACGAAAACTGGACTTTTTTTCAAAAAAGTTCAAATAATGTTATATTTTGTGTGAAAATAAAGTTAGTTGAACATTGCAAGAAACGTTTTTGTAACCTTTAAATAACATTCTAATCACAACAAGAAAATAAAAACATTCTTAGAATATAAAAATGAAACGTTCAAACTATGTTATATTTTGGCTGAAAATAACATTTAGTAGAACATTTTTGTAACCTTTAAATAACATTCTAATCACAACAAGAAAAATGTGAACATTTTTAGAATATTCAAAATAAACGTTCAAATAACATTATATTGCGGGTGAAAATAATGTTAGTAGAACATTGTAAAGAAACATTGCTTCTAACCTTTAAAGAATGTTATAATCACAACAGCAAAAAACCCCGGACAGTTTAACATTCTTAGAATATTAAAAGTAAACGTTCAAATAATAGTTATATTTTGGGAGAAAATAAAGTGTTGTAATGTTTTGGTAACCTTTAAATAACATTATAACCGCTATAATTACGACAAGAAAATAATCACGAAACGTTATGATCACAACAAGAAAACCAGACATTTCAGTCTCATAACAAGCTAAACTGTCTGTGTTTATAACTTCTACAAGTCTTATAATGTTCTCAGGTTGACATTTCTCAACTTCAGACCCATCGCCGAGCACATTTTCATGACCATTGCGGTAGGTTTTCCGTCTGACGTGTCTCTCTGTCCTGCAGGCTGTGCACTTTGGTGGTTCAGATATTAAGCCTGATGTTCAGGGAAACAGAGATCGAAGCGGCGAGGCTCAGCATGCTGACGGCCAAACAGTGAGTGATTCTTCCTCTCCAGTAATGCCAGCGCACTCATTTCAGCTTATTTCACTGAGCAATGGCTGCTGTTTGACACAGGGGAGCTCTTACGGAGAACATGCTGCTGGCTTTAGTGTGTGATCCAGATCTCCAGCTGCCAGACTCCACTGATGCCTCTAAATCTTCACTTAATAAGGTATAAATAATGGAAAAGTGAAAGGTTTGGTTATCATATACTCACCCTTGCTTCCCAGGTGTAAGGAAAAGATGAAATAAGTTCTTTTTTGTTTTGTTTTTTCCACTCGTATCTTGTTTATGATCAGTTGATTTATGATAATGAAATGTAATTTATGATAATGAAGCGTCTTTGTGTGTCGCAGCTGCAGGCAGACTATCTGGATGCGGCATCTGCGCTGCTGTTTGAGCTGGTTGTGTTCTGTCAGGAGGTGAGTAGCATTATCTCATCTATGTGCATAGATTTGTTTCAAAGGAAATCATTTTAAATAAAATTACATTTACATTTTGTTCATGTTTCTGAATGCAGTCTCTTCTGCTCAACAGGGGTGCATTTATTTTATTTTATGAAAAATAATAAACAATAAAAATAATAATAAAGAGTAAAAAGCTGTAATATTGTAAAATATTATTACAATTTAAAATAACTGTTTTCTATTTGAATATATTGTAAAATGTAATTTATTTCTGTAATCAAAGCTGAATTTTCAGCATCATTACTCCAGTCTTCAGTGTCACACGATCCTTCAGAAATGTACATTTAGTAAAACATTTAGTATTATTATTATCAATGTTGAAATCAGCTTTCGCTGCTTATTTGTATTATTATTATTTTATTTTATATTTTATTTATTTATTTATTTTTGGAAAACCATGATACACTACCATACAAAAGTTTGGGGTCATATGTTTCTTTAAAAAAATAAATACATTTTTTTTTTCAACAAGGACACATTAAATTGATCAAAAGTGTCAGGGAAGACATTTATAATACAAACGATTTATATTTAAAACAAATGCTGTTCTTTTGAACTTTCTGTTCATCAAAAAACATTTTGCACAGTTTTACAACAATTTTCAACACTGATATCACAAGAAGAACTGTTATTAATAATTGTGCATCATTAATAATTGATAATAACCAAGCAGCAAATCAGGTGCATATTAGAATCATGTGACACTGGCGTAATGATGCTGAAAATTCAGCTTTGATCACAGGAATAAATTACATTTGACAATATATTCAAATAGAAAACAGTTATTTTAAATTGTAATAATATTTCATGACATTACTGTATTTCCTATATTTATGATCAAATAAATGCAGCCTTGGTGAACAGAAGAGACTATTATAAAAAATCACTATTATTCGGTAGTGTGTGTGTGTGTACATATATACATATAAATGCACATGTATACGCATATATAACACTGATCAGCTTTACCGGTCTGATTTGTGGCTCAAAGGCTAGTCGCACACCTGCTCTGGGACATTTCCTCACCATCGGCTGGGTGTTTCGCTTGCTTAAACCGCATCCGTTCTTAGTAAGTATATACCCGTTTCATTTTCATGCATATTTGCATGAATCCACATGATTAGCTTCCGTATCAGAGCGCCTGTTTGAGCGCAGGTCCTGTTCGCTCTTTCGCAGCTCCCGTTCGTGGGCTATCAGGCCCAGCAGCTGGTTCTGGTTCTGTGGGGTCCTCAGGATCCTCTCAGCCCGTCTCAGGCGGTTCTCCTGTTCCAGCGCTGCCGTGTTCTGTTAGCCTGTCTGCAGCACAGCGCCTGTCTGAGCAAGTACATCAGGACGGGGTTCAAGGAGGAGTTCAGGTTCTTCATGAGCTTCAGATATTTTCAAGGCTGAGACACAGCTGTCAGATCTTTTATTATAATATCTTCTGTTTATTATAGGTACTATGTGAAGACGTCAGGGCTGGAGGACAGACTGCCCCATCACTACCCCATCAGTCAGCCTGCCCAGAACCTTCTTTCCCAGCTCCTCAGTCTGGTTCTCCAGAAACCTTGAGCTCTGGCTCTTTCTCCTTCTGTTCCTCTGGGATTCATTTCTTGTTTTATTTCTGCAGATAGACGTGGGAATATGCGTTTGAATGAACATGCTGCACTTTAAGATTGAGTCTTGTATTGTGTCTTACTATGTTTTGAACAGAGACTGGGATTTTACTCTGCCTTTGTCTACACTCAGGATTATTATTATCACTGTAATATGTGTAAAATATCGGCAATTTGATGGAAAGTCAGTGCAGAGAACATTTAATATATTCAAATATTTATAAAATAATGAACATAATGTGCACTTTTCAATGAACAATTTCAAGTTTGGCAGGCCACTCTAACATATCACAGTATTATAATATGAATCTTTTTCATATTTGTTTTGCTGTACTGTAACTAAAGCCTGATGCACTTGTTTATTTTGGTTGGTTTTTGTTTGAATGCACTTTTTCTCTGTAAGACTCGACTGATTTTCAGGAACTCCATGTACCTCAAGGCCTCAAATTAAAAATACCAATATTTTTAATAAACATCTGTGTCTGTGACATTTTTATAAACCTAATTGTTGACTGGGTGTTTTTGTATATGCAATAAATCAACGTGTATGTAAATGCAGCATTTGCAGTGTAAATATAAATTATAAATATAATTACACATTTTTATGTATTTATTTTTGCATACAATAAATTGACAGAATTACAGCTTGACTGGAAGTGACACGCAATGGAAATATTAAGTGATATTTACCCTGTTTTTGTGTGTGTGTGTCACGGTGAAGGTTTTTAAGGTGACAAAAAAAATAAAAATGCAATAAAATTTTATAATAGACAACTATGATTTACAAAGAAAGCCCTAGACCTTTAATTTGATTTATTTATTTGATTTTATACATTTATTTTATACACCTGATCCTGCTGTCATAATGCAAAGCGTTATTTTTTATTGCCAAGTCCGATCCAACAAACTATAAATTGACATGAATTATTTTACCTCAGTACATTTAGTGGTTTGTCTTTATTTCCCTCTTAGATCATACGAATTTCAAATATGTAATCATTCATATTTTTATTATGGATTTTCATATTTTTTTATTGAAAATCAATCTGGGGCAATACAATTATTAATTGTAATGTAATTCATAACAAAAAGCCTTAATAAAACCTATCATTTTTTAATTTAAACTATACATAATATAACAAAAAACTTCTTAAAAATGCCCACCGCTGAAGGCACGAACGTATAACTGAACAAAATGGCTATTTTCGGAATATGACAGGGGTACGGAACGGGCGTTCGTTCGTGGTTGTTGCTACTGGGGAATGTTTTCCAAGCGCACCGGAAACAGCGTGGGGTTATTGAGCCTCAAGACCTTCTGAACTTGTAAGTCGAAGTTTATCTTTACGTTTGTCTTTTAAATAAACTGCGAAGACGATATTGATTATAAATCGTCGGTGTAAAGCGCACAATCACTATTAAACGCGTCTTCTAAACGTGACTAGTTGATGTAAGTGAATGGCGGGAGATTAACATGTGGCTCATCATTGGATTTGCTGAAAGTAACGTTAACTTAAATACAAAACAGATCTTAAATGATTCAAGCTTAAAGTAGCCGAATATGACACTTTAATGAACGTGATATAATAACATTGCATCAACTATTGAACAAAAAAAATCATTTTGAGAGGTTAACATGTTTTTACCTTGAACTGCATCTACATTACATGGCATTTGTAGACGGTTAAGAATAAGGTAGATGGTCTATTTAACTTAACTTTTATGTCATTCGTTTTATATTATAGCTATATTACTCTGATAAGGCCATTTTCCCATTATAGAGTGAATGACCTGTCAGCAAACGTCTTCGCATCCACCAGAGAGTAGAGAAGATGTTGAGAAACGCCTCTGCACAGGTAACCAAACAACACGCAGAAGTGTTCATGTTCGCTCAGGAGGATTATTACAGGCTGACTCTTATTATTCCGTCCTGACAGATTCTTAAACAGTTCGTCCGGCACAGGACTACAGATACAAATCTGATCTTGGAGAGATGTGAGTATCTGTCAGTCCCTGTATGCACTGGCTTTTGTGTGACATGTTATTGATAAATGTGTTGTCTCTTGACAGCTATTAACCGGGTGCAGCTGCTTGGGCGAGTGGGACAGGACCCCGTCATGAGACAGGTGGAGGGCAGAAACCCCGTCACCATCTTCTCCATGGCAACAAATGAGATGTGGCGGTCTGGGGAGGGAGAACCCACAAGTACAGGTGAGATCAATCTGTGTACTACTCCCATCATATTTTTGTAATAGAGAAGCACGCATTTAATTTTATTTGACTTCATCATTATTATTATTTTTTATTATTAATATTTTTCATATATTTTGTTCATGTTTTATGTTATTTTTATATACATATTTGTATTTGACTTTTATATACATTGATTTGTATTAATAATATTTAATATTTTTGTATTGTATTCTAAAATCTATTTTCTTCATAGATTTTTCATGTTTTTAATTTATATAATTTGATTTTATTATTATTAAAATTGTTTGTTTGTATATTGTAATTTTTTCATGTGTTTGTGTGTGTGTGTGT